CCTTGGTGTTCAGGGACACAGGGTTCTGCCAGGTTTTCTAGCCCAGGCCATTGGTCCTCACGGTTCTTCTTAGACCAGCAGCACTGGTGTAACTGGGGGACTTGAGCCCCACACAGACATGCTGCTTCCTGGAGAGGGATTAATGGTGTCCCACAGAGGGGTGAGGGCATGGGGGTGACAGAGCGACCACCATAGGGACGTGAGGTGGGTTTCTGTTCATGGGGGTGACAGAGCGACCACCATAGGGATGTGAGGTGGGTTTCTGTCCATGGGGGTGACAGAGCGACCACCATAGGGACGTGAGGTGGGTTTCTGTCCTGTGAAGACAGAGCTTAGTCACGGGTTCCCAAACCCCGTCTTTGTACCTGTTCTCCCTCCTGGAGAGGGCTGTGGTACACCTGGGGAGTTTCTGTGCACTTCCTGTCACTGTCTGGCCTGGGGTGTTGTGTGTGGGGACTGAGCAGCAGATGGGGGAGGGGCTCACTGCCTTGTGCTGAGAGGGGGTGCCAGCCACCATCACTGGACCAGGAGCTGGGAGGGGAGCATTGCTGTTTTGAAGCCTTTGAGTATCTTGAGTGGCAGGGTGCTAGAGCCCATTCTGGGGTCCCCTACCCCTCTTGAGCAGCAGGGCTCCTGGAGACTGATCTTCACTTGTTTGTCTGTCTAGTTCATCCTCAATGTGCGCCTGGACTACCGCATCTCCTACCTGCTGTCGGTGTTCAAGAAGGAGTTTGTGGAGGTGTTCCCCATGCAGGACAGCGGGGCAGACGGCACAGCGCCTGCCTTTGACTCCACCAGTGAGCCTCGCTTCCTGCCACTGCCCACTGTGTTTTCTCGCCACCCCACTGTCCGCAGCTCCCCAACCCATCCTTTCCACTCCCCAAATGCATGGACGGTGTCCCTCTCATCACCACAGTGAGGAGCAGGGCAGGGACCCTTCCTAAGTGGGGAAATAGGCCCATAGGGGAGCAGGGACTTGACTAAGGTCATAGTCCTGTCCCACCTGGAGCTGACCTCCCACCAGGAGCTGACCACGCCTAGGCTTCCTTGTGCTACTGAGCTCTGCCCTATGCTCTCAGCCTGGAAGCTATGAGCCCTCACAATGGGGGAGGGGTTGCAGGAGCATCTGGGGCCGGCTTGGGTACCCCCTGTACCTGAGTTCCTGTCTATTCCATGTCTCTGTCACTCTTGCTTCCCACAGCTGCCAACATGAATCTGGACCGCATCGGGGAGCAGGCGGAGGCCATGTTTGGAGTAGGGTGAGGCTGGGACTGAGGTGGGCTCAGCTTCAGGGTGGGGGCAGGTTATCTGCATAAGGTTTGATGTTACTCCCTCCCTGGACAACCTGGGCTTCCTGAGGCTGAGGGCTGGCCATTCCCTCTACCATGTCCCCCAGGAGACCCTTGCCAGCTACATGCTGACCCTCTGGCTTGCCCATCCCTCGCTGTATATGGTAAATCCAGGTCCTAGTCATTGTGGTGATTTTGCCACCGCCATGCAGGACGGCTGTGCCTGTGTGTTCAGCAGAGCTCAGGGCAGGTGGCTGGGTAGCTGTCCCGGCTCACAGCAGGGCGAGATGTGGGGAGACGGGAAGCAGCATGCCCTCCCTGCCCCTATGCTGGAGTGGACGTGTCACTCAGAGCCTCTGCCATTGCCATTGCGTGCCAGCCTTCCTTGGCATCTCACAGTCAGTGGACCTCTTCTCAGAACTCCACTGTGAATTCAGAAGATAGGGGCTGCTTATCTTGTACTGACCCCCAGAACCATATCAAACAGGAGTGGTGCTGCATGCCTGTAACCCCAGCATCCGGGAGGTGGAGGCAGAAGGGTCAGAAGCCCAAGGGCACCTTTCACTACAGAGGGAGTTCGGGGCCAGCCTGGGCTACAGGAGATCCTGCTCAAAAAATAAGCCACAGCAGGGTGGTACAGAATAGATTAGTAAAGCAAAGCTCACGAATTTACAAGGGAAACTGCCCTGGAGTAGTTATCAAAATGCTGAAGACAACAAGTCGGAAGTAGCAGCCACGCATGAGGGTCTTTATTAGCACGTTAGATAGCAGCTGCACGGGTGGGTGTAATTAGCAGCGTGACTCCAGCTTGTGGCAAACATAAATGGTATTTCACAACGTTCATTAACAGCTCTGAGGTGACGTGGAAGTGTCTGTGGTTTTTACTGGTGGCAATCCCCCAGGTTCAGCTGGCACTCTCTCTCAAGAGGTGTCTCCTCATGCCCTCAGTGTGGTGGGGGCTGTGGGTCCCACATGAAGGCTTCCTTATCAGGGGCTTGGTGAAGGGCTATCTTGAGGGTGCCCAGGAGATCGGCGGAACCTTGGCCGGGGGCAGTGGTTCTCTGCACGAGGGTGGGAAACGCCGATGCTGTGAAGGGTGGCACCGTGGCGCAGCCCTGCTCACTGGCTCCCACTCCCGCCCGCCCATGCTGGCAGGAAGACCAGCAGCATGCTCGAAGTGGATGACGAGGGCGGCCGCATGTTCCTGCGGGTGCTGCTGCACCTGACCATGCATGACTATGCACCTCTGGTCTCCGGCGCCCTGCAGCTGCTCTTCAAGCATTTCAGCCAGCGCCAGGAGGCCATGCACACCTTCAAGCAGGTGAGAAGCGCCACCTGCCAGTTCCTGGACCTTGGACCTGCTTGGAGCCCTGGGGCACACAGCGATCCAGCAGCTCATAGCTTGACAGGGGTGCTGGGCCTTCAGCCTTGTTCAGATCCTTCAGGGGAGGATCCAGCGTCAGCCACCTTTGTCACCTCCTGGCCTGACTCATTTCTGTTGTGGACACCACTTGAGAGTGGGCAGTTGGGCACACCTTTGCTGATCATTCCCTACCAGTCTGACTTGCAGACATCCCTCGCTGAGCTGCCTGGTGTCTGTCACTGTGGCATCCATCATGTCCCCTTGAAAGCCTCCCCTGAGATGCCTGCCGATCAGGGCTGGCATTTAGCAAGCGCTCACAATGTACTGGTCCTCGACACCAGTTTGCATTGGTTCCCCAGAATTCCCCTTGCTCCCTCAGTATGTGACACCCCTCTCAGCCCCATGTGAGAAGAGGGAGGCGGGACCACATGCTGGCCTGAGTCCTTATAGTCCCAGGTCCCTCCTTTGCCCAGGGTTCAGTGACCCTACAGTGCTTTCTCCTGCCTGTTCGACATTGGAGTGGGGCAGTGACAGGTCACAGTGGTGTGTGACATGAGTCTAAGAAACTGTGGCCAGGTGATTCGTTAGCCCAGGGCAAGGGAGTACAGGCTTCCTGTAAAGGTAGGGTGGAAGTGATGCTTGGGTGGGGAACTGGTCTAGGGTGGGCACTGTAGTTCCCTGCGTGACAACAATCTGGGGACATATGCCCATGGTCACTCTCCCTGCGCAGGTCCAGCTGCTGATCTCAGCCCAGGATGTTGAGAACTATAAGGTGATCAAGTCAGAACTGGACCGACTGCGGACGATGGTGGAAAAGTCCGAGTTGTGGGTGGACAAGAAAGGCAGCGTCAAGGGCGAGGAGGGGGAGGCAGGCGCCACCAAGGACAAGAAGGAGGTAAGCTGGCTTCCGGGAGCCAAACAGGGTGCCCCAAAGTGACGGGACCTGGGTGACTATCTTCTGTGTCCTCAGCAACCCACGGATGAGGAGGGATTTCTACAGCCACATGGGGAGAAGAGCAGTGAGAACTACCAGATTGTCAAGGGCGTGAGTGGCAGGGGCATGGTGGCAGGGGCGTGAGTGGCAGGGGAGTGGGTGATGGGTGAGGGGAAGTATCCTGCAGCTGGCTCCCATTGCCCTGGCTTCTCTCAGGGCCCTGCAGCCAGGCGTCTCCCAGCTTTCTGGCCTGTTCCAAACAGCCCCACCGAGGCCCTGATAGACTTATTTTAAAGCCGAAGGAATTTAATGAGACTCCATTTTACAGCCCCGCACTTGTGGGTGGGATGGGCTCTCCGTGCTCTGCTGGGGAGCTGGGATGGCCTGGTTCAGCAGCAAGCCCCCGCCCCAGTCCTTCCCCTCTCCTGTCCCTAGGATACTGGGTGTGGCTACAGCTGGCCAGGCAGAGGGGACCCCGAGGAGGAGGAGGAGGAGGAGGAGGAGGAGGAGGAGGCACAAGGCTCCCAAGTTCCCTGTGTCCCCTGCAGATCCTGGAGAGACTGAACAAGATGTGTGGGGTCGGGGAACAGATGAGGAAAAAACAGCAGAGGCTGCTCAAGAACATGGATGCCCACAAGGTCATGCTGGACCTGCTGCAGATCCCCTACGACAAGGTGACCCGGGCCTGCCTAACCTGCCTGTCGGTCCTGCTGTGCCTCGGCCTCAGGGCCGACTTCAGACGAGCCATGCCTGCTTTTGGAGTTGCTCCTTGGTGGTTCCTCACCCTTTGGCACCTTTCTCCCCTTCCCCCCATCCCACCCCCACCTTACACTGATTTGTCTTCACTTTGAAGGGCTGTGATCCCTTCCTCCCCCCCCTCCCTGCCCCCCCCATGGTGCTGGGCATTGAACCCAGAACCTTACTTATGTAAGGACAAACATTCTTCCACTGAGCTACACAGCCCTTGAGTTTGATTTGACCCTAAGGCTTTAACCATGACCCCAGCCTCCTTCCCCTCCTCTGGGCTAACCCTGCCTATCAGCTCCATCTGGGCCAATGGTTCTCAGCCTGTGGGCAGGCATGGGGGGGGTGATTCATAACAGTAGCAAAATTGCAATGAGGTAACAATGAAGAATGTATGTTTGGGGTCACCACAACTGTATTAAAGGGTTGCAGCATCTGGAAAGGGGTCAGATTCTGACCCTTGGGCCCTGTGCTCCTTATCCCGATGGGTCCCTGATCCCTGTCCCTCCCGTCATGTAGCCTCTGTCTACCCCTGACCCTCAGCCCCTCACATGGGCTGATCTTTTCTTTTCTTTTCTTTTTTGAATGTTTGTGTATAAGTGCACAAGCTCAGAGTTCAGAAGAGGGTGTCAGATCCCCTGGAGATGGAATTCAGAGGTGGTCACCAGCCCTCTGGGTGTTGGGAGTGGAACCTGGGTCCTCTGCAAGAGCACCCTGTGCCCTTCATGGCTAGGGGTTGCTCCAGGCCCCTGAGATGATCCTACAAGTCTCAGGCTGCACCCTGACTTTTTTTTTATTTAATGTGTGTGAGTGCGTGTGTACCAGGGTGTGTGTGTGTGTGTGTGTGTGTGTGTGTGTGTGTGTGTGTGCGTGCACGCGCACACACCAGAGTGTGTATAATATACATTTAGGAGACAGGTCTGTTCACTTTCTACCTTTCCCTTTCCCTGGGTTCTAGGGATCAAACCCAGGTCATGCCAGGCTACAGCAGTGTCCTAGCTAGCTTTCTACTACTGACCCAAAGCATCTTGTGGAGGAAGGGGTTTAGTAATTAATCTCAGAGCATACAGGGAGCATACAGATTTAATCTCCCATCATAAAGAAAGCAGGCGGGAATGTGAAGCAGGAACGGAAGCAGAGGCCACGAAAGGGCGCTGCTTACTGGCTTGCTTCCATGGCTTACCCAGCGTGGCTCACTAAGCTTGCCTTTTAACGCAGCCCAGGACCACCTGCTCAGGGGTGACACTACTCATAGTGGGCTGGGCCCCTCCCATAACAATCATTAACCAGGAAAATGCCCCAAAGACTGGCTCACAGAGCAGTCTGATGGAGGTATTTTTCCCAATTGAACTTCCTGTGACGCTTATTGAATCCTGACCACTTCAGCCACCCCGGGCCTGTGCCCCTGGTGGCCCAGCAGCCTCTCTTTGCACACAGGGTGACAGCAAGATGCTGGAGATCCTGCGCTACACACACCAGTTCCTGCAGAAGTTCTGTGCTGGGAACCCCGGCAACCAGGCCCTGCTGCACAAGCACCTGCAGCTCTTCCTCACGCCCGGGGTGAGGCACACCTGGGCACCGCACTGGGTCCCTCAGGGGCCCCCCTTCTCTGATGGGCCTTCCTCTCTCTAATGGCCCTTCCGTCCCTACACAGCTCCTGGAGGCCGAGACCATGCAGCACATTTTCCTCAACAATTACCAGCTGTGCTCTGAGATCAGCGAGCCCGTGCTGCAGCACTGTGTGCACCTGCTGGCCACGCACGGGCGCCACGTGCAGTACCTGGACTTCCTGCACACTGTCATCAAGGCCGAGGGCAAGTACGTGAAGAAATGCCAGGACATGATCATGACTGAGGTGAGGGCGGCCTGGGCCCCAGGGAGCTGGGGGGCGTGTCCCAGGGGCCAGGGAGGAGAACCTGGGCTGCTGGGCCTGGTGCATTGTGGGAACGCACCAACATGTGCTCACCCAAAACCTGGAGAACAGGGGCTGAGCCTTGATCCCAGTCTGGAGGTTTGTTCCCTAGAAGCATCTCAGAGTGGGCTGAGGAGGACAGGGACAGACAGTGACGTCACAGGAGAGCTCCTGCTCAAGTGTGCACTTTGACCATGGTAGCTACTGACTGAGGGACAGGAGAGGTGCAGCGTGCCTCAGTCCAGGGGACACTGGAGGCCGAGAAGATTCCGACACTTCCTGGATCCAAGGCCAAAGTCTCTGATGGAAGAGGGCCGGACACATTAGCCAAGAAACTCCAAAACTTAGGCAGGAAGCCGGGCAAGATGGATCACACCTGGGACCCCAGCACTCAGGAGGCTGATGCGGAGACATGGCTCCATAGTTAAGAGCACTGCCTGTGTTCTTCAGAGGACCTGGGTTCAGTTCCCAGCTCATGGCTCATGACCGTCTGTAACTCTAGATTCAAGGGACCTGACACCCTCTTCTGACCTTCTGACCTCTGTGGGTACTGCAGACATGGTGAACAGACATACATGCAGGCAAAACACCCGTGTACATAAAATAAATTAAAAAAAAAAAAGAGTCAAAGCTATCCTCAGCTACATAGTGATTTCGAAGCTAGCCTGGGTTACGTGGAACTGTTTCAGAAATCCAAAACAAACCCAAAACTTTCAGTACAGGTACCAGGCCATAGTTGGGGTCGTGTCCTCAGCTTGTCCTGACAATAGGTGGTGCCTGGGGCTGCTGGACAAGGGTTCTGATTTGCACCTGCCTTCCGTCACAGCTGACCAATGCAGGTGACGACGTGGTGGTGTTCTACAATGACAAGGCCTCTCTGGCCCACCTCCTGGACATGATGAAGGCAGCCCGAGATGGCGTGGAAGACCACAGCCCCCTCATGTACCACATATCCCTGGTGGACCTGCTGGCTGCCTGTGCTGAGGGCAAGAATGTCTACACGGAGATCAAGTGCACCTCCCTGCTGCCTCTGGAGGACGTGGTGACGGTGGTGACCCACGAGGACTGCATCACGGAGGTGTGCACCCTCAGACTGTGAGAGGGCACAGAGTGGGCGAAGGCTGTGGTGTAGCCGGGGGCAGAGCCTGGGCAGGCATTGCTGACACGCCTCGCCCGCTGCGCTGCCCAGGTTAAAATGGCGTACGTGAACTTCGTGAACCACTGCTACGTGGACACGGAGGTAGAGATGAAGGAGATCTACACCAGCA